TTTTTTGCAACTAATAAGTGATCATGGCAGAGTTGCAGCATGTAAGTTAACACACCCGTTTAGTTGCTTTCCTATATATAAGCAACAATTAGAATTTGAAATTAAAAGATAACACCATTTAACTAGCAACAAGTAATACTTTACAAAATGTTTTATTTCTTCCTTCTGTGTTTGCTTGCATTAGCTAGGACTCCCAGTGCGGTTTGGTTGAATAGAAGTAGTTAGGGGCATACTTTGTCCCATTCCACATCCTAGGGGGAAACCATTTATTTTTTCCTTGTGATGTTAGCTGTAAGGTTTTTTGATAGATCTGTCAATTTGGTAAACTTCCTGTTTCTACTTTGTATAGATGATAATGGTGGTGGTGGTGGAGAATGGGTGTTGATCTCATCAAATGCGTTTTCTTTGGGGATTGAACTTGGGGCCATTGCCCAGAGCAGCATTGCCAGCCCATCCCCACCCTCACCCTACCCTACCCTACCCCTTTTTTCTAAACATTTGAGACAGGATCTTACTAAGTTGCTGTGGTGCCCCGGTTGGGCTCAGGCTTCTGATCTTCCTGATTCTACTCCCAGAAGGCCTGTATTAGAGGCATGTGCCACCAACCCTAGCTGTGGTTTTTTTCTTTAATCCACTGATATTTTCATTCTTTACGTATTGGTAAAATCTGACAGTAAAACCATCTGATTCTGATGTTTTCTTTTTTTAAAATTAATTTTTGAATCAATTTCTTTAGTGGATTTAGTTCTTGGTTTGTTTCTCTTTATGAGCTTTTATAGGTCATGTCTTTTAAGGAAATGGTCTATTTTATCTACCAAATTATTGGGCATAGAGTTTACCATATTCATTAATTATTATCCCTTTGATATCCATGTGATTACAAGTTAATAATTTACTTCTCTCCTTTTTTGCTTGGTTATCTAGATTAGAGATTTATAAATTTTTTTGATCTTTTCAAAGAATTCAATTTTTGTTTACATCAATTATTAATTTCCTGTTTTTAATTTCATTTTTCATCTTAATTTTTCCCTCTGCTTGCTCTGATTTCATTTGGTCTTTTTCTAGTTTCTTAGGTTATTAATTTTGTATCTCATACGCACACACACACACACACGTATATTTAACACTATAACTTTTTCTTTACTATTTTTATGATACTCCATATATTTCTCTTGAGATTTGTTTGACCCGTGTATTGTTTAGCAGGATGTTTCATCCCTAAATATTTTGGGGTTCTTCAGCTAGCTTTTGTTGTTAATTTTTTATTTAATCCCATTTTTGTCTGAGAGCATACTTGTAATAAATTTTTCAAGGTGTGTTTTATGGCCCATAGTGATCTAACTTAGTGACTGTTTCAACTGAACTTGCAAAGTATGTGTAGGCCCGAGTAAGTTGTATTGGATCCAAATGAGAGTGTCTGCAGGGCTGTACTTTCTTTGAAGACTCCAGAGAGAATTTGTTACCTTGCATTTTCTAATTTCCAGAGGCTCCTACTCCCTTGGCTTTATAGCTCCTTCCTCCATCTTTAAGGTCATCACTCAACCTTTGGTATATTGCTCCTCTTTGAAAGATTCTCATTACCTTGATCCACCTAGTAATACAGGGTTATCCCCCCATATAAAATCACATCTGCCCAGTAAAATAAAGTAATCACAGGTTCCAGGGATTAGGATATGGACATCTTGGAGGTGGACTTAAGGTATTTATTTGGCTGTAAGTTTGAAATTCAGTAAACTCAATCTTTGGAAACACTTTTCTATTCTTTCTGCCTTTCCTACCACACATCTAAATGTCTTAGCTATGCTGTATTTTAATTGTCTGTGTTTCTCTGTCTGCCTAGGGCATTAGCATTCTGAAGCAGGACATGTAGTATTTGAATCAAATGAGTTCAGATAAATGAAATTATATGAAATGGTGAGACATCAATAATTCATATTTGATAAATAGCCTTATCTTTAACATACACATTACAGTATGACTGTGATCTCCACCTTTCCTTCAGGCTACTCTTCCCAAATTATAATGTGTGTTAAATATGATTTATCTAAAATGAATTTTCTCATTCACTTTCATTTTGGTTTCTTGTAAGGAGCAAAAGTGACATATTTGAGAGATTTTATGTACCTAATAATTGTTTTAAATACAGAAAATTTGCCATTGATTTGTTGTGTTTGGGTTGGTTTTGTAGAGACAGGTTCTCTCTGTGTAGTTCAGGCTGGTCTTGAACTCACTATGTAGGCCAGCCTGGCCTTGAACTCTGGTGGCAGACCTCCTGCCTCAGCCTCCTGAGTGCTGGAATTACAGGCCTGTGCCACCATTGCTTGGCTACCATTGGTTCTGTTTTGCCAGATTCTCTTCTAGTCATCTGAAAGCACAATTAATAGTGAAATGCCTTGATGGTTTGGTTTATTTTATCCTATTCCTTTATTCCTAGAAGTACTTTTGTGAGAATTTAACACTGGTGACTGCAGTAAAGGAGTATGTAAAATCACTAAGTTTCTTTGTAGTTATGGACCCCACCCATACTTTAACCTCTCCCATTTTGATGAGGTCCAAGTGCAAGAAAAACAGCAATAACAACAAACAACAAAAACAAAAAATCTTCCTGTGTGGCCTGTAGATAGCAAATGTGGAGATTATTAATGCACTTCCCAGCTAGGGACCATAAGCAAACAAATACTCCTACAGATAACTACACCCTTCCTGCTTGGGATTGAATATACTGTGGAACAGATTTCGGAAATAGGTTTCTGACAGTTTGCAGTTGTATTTATAAAATGTTAGTGGGTGAGGTCTTCCTCACAAAAACTAATTATTTCCTGTCTGATGCCCAGCCAGGACATTTTAAAGGTTTTTTAGAACATTTTCCCTCTCGTTGATTATATTGCTTTTAATAGTTCTGGTTGTTCTTGTCAGCCACTGTACAAAAATGTGTCTATTTCCAGTGAATAATTTTAAAACGACTTTTAGTTGAAATCAGCATAATAAAAACTGCAAATGTTTGTAGTATCTTGTCACGAGAGTGACAGTAGTTCACAGTTTAAGTAAATGTATGAAAATTTTATTTTGGTTCTCCAGCATGCAAATCTGTAGCATTTTTTATTTTCTGTAAACAGGCTTAATGAAGAGTTAGTTTGAGTAAAAAGCAGATTTATATTAAAGAATTTGCAGGTTAATTCTCAGTGTAACATTATCCTCATCTAGTACATCTGTTATAAAGAAAGCTTATAAAATTTAGGCCACCCACAAAGTGGTCTGCTGAGGCCTGTGGGGGTGGTATAATGCTGTTATTATGTGGGCTAACTGGTTTGGTAAGGAATTTACCTCCTCTAACACTGTGAAATATCATGGTTCTGGTTTTCCCCCCCACAAACTGCAGGGCTTGACTTGGTCGCTTTGTTAGCTCATTATGGTATGTTCTGTTGCCTTGGCTTCATATGATATGAATGGTATACTGTTTCTGAAGGTGGTTTATCGGAATACTAATAGCAGTTCTGGGTCATGTAAACTTGAGGATAAACTGAAATAGTTGGTTTACATTACTGAATTAAATATAATAGCTATTATGAGTAAGTCTTATCACTATTTAAAAAGAATGTGTATGTTGCTGAGAAGGCAGCTAAGGTTTTTAAATACTATAATTTCTGTGTCATTTGAAGAACTTATCCTTTAAATTTCCTTGGGACTTGTAAATTTTTCAGGATTGCTGAATTGAATTTCATAAAACTTAGTAGCCTAAAGCGCTGGGAATCAAAATTGAAATCTTCAAATAGCCATTTTTAAGCAATAAAAATAAATTTTACAGCCACCACAAGTAGCAGTGATTATTGAGAAATGAAAACTATTGTAAGCCCAGCTGGATCTCAGATTACCGATTTTTTTTTTTTTTTTTTTTTTGGTGCTGGGCATTGAACTCAGGCATTTACAAGGTAGGCACAGTGCCACTGAGCTAATTCCCCAGCTCATATTACTGAATTAATTGTTTCAGGATGAATAAAATATTTTTTAGAGATTAAATAACATTGTTACTGTTACATTTGAAAAATAAAAGTTAATGTAATAGGTTTTTAAAGCAGATGATTTGTATTTCACATAATGTTTATGGAGATCCCGTATATTTTTCCTTAAACACATTGAGTCCAAAAATAGCACAGAAATCTAAAGTGAGTTTTGTGATTACAATTTAAGAAAATGACATTTAGTGTGGAAGAAATATAGTTTGGGACAGGAGGTAAAAATGATAAAAATTAAATACACATTTTGAAATAAAATATATACTCTGAAGTAGAAATGCATGCTGAAGGCATATATTGTGTGCCTTTATATATATCACAGGTGTATATATGTACATGTGTGTTTAACTTGCTGTTTTGATCTTAGCCCTACCTGATGACCTTACCTGTGGTTAAATATTTTTAACAAAAAAGATTTTCCCCCACATGGACACTTGGCATTCTGTTTGCCTGCTTTTTTCTGTGGTGATGAAGAATAAACGCAGGATCTATTTGCTAGGCAAGTGCTTTGCCACTGAGCTGCACCTTCAGCCCCTTCAACATTCTTGTAATTGTTTGTTGTGTACCAGACAATTTTGAATTTGTCATCTGGTCTCGATTCAAGCAGAGAATCTAAAGTTAGGGCCTCCAAAACTTTTTTTTTCCAGACAAAAAAATGAACAAAGTCGTTTATGTGTCCTGCCTAGCTGTCATTCTCACCACTTCTCTAGCTTGCTATCCTTAACTAGACCTCCCAGCACAGTGCTGACAAATGCCACCCCACAGCCCAAAGAGGTGATGGGGTGTTTGTGTTTTTGTACTCACTCAGGTTGGCAGTGAATATCTGAGAGAGGTGTGAATGGCTTCTGGCAGCAAAGACATTATAGAAATTCACCTGTCTTACTGTGTCTCCCTTTCAGTTAAGCATTTTATTCCAACTCAAGTTAGCTAAGTGATTGGCTAATTATTTTTACTCTCAGCTAACCAGAATGTGTTTCACCATTCTAGGTTTACCGACAAGACTGCGAAACTTTCGGGATGGTGGTGAAAATGTTGATTGAAAAAGATCCTTCCCTAGAAAAGTCTATACAGTTTGCACTGAGGCAGAATTTACATGAAATAGGCGAGCGGTGTGTTGAAGAACTCAAGCATTTCATTGCAGAGTATGATACGTCTACTCAAGATTTTGGAGAGCCTTTTTAGTGCTCAAGCAAATAAATGTTCCTAGATTTTTTTCCCCTGGATTGTGTAAATCCTTAATATATGGAATTTTTGTGATGAAGAGAAATACTTTATGAGTTTTCATTATCAAATAAACGTCTAACATTGTCTGTTTAAAATATTTTAATTAGAATTTTTTCTTCAAGTAGGAACCTCCTAATCCATATTCATCTTTCAAATGATGGTAAGTTAATTGTTTAAGCTTTAAAGAAGCAGTCCTGGAGAGCAGTTTTCTATACTTACTCATGTTCCATAAGCCCCCAAGAGTGTGATTGGTTTAGTCATGTGTGTAGCGTACAGGTTAGAGATCCACTTAAACATTAGTCTTTTGGCATTTCATAGTGAATGATACCATGTGGAGATATTGGAATTCTGAGTTGTGATTTTTATTAACTTGTCGCTTGCTTGTCTTAGGCTTCATTAGTTTTAATATGCCAAAGTAATATTATAAAGTGAATTCTGTGGTATCTTAGAGGGTATTTGCTTTGCGTATAATTCTCATTCATTGATAAAACAGACCACTCAAAATCTCTGAAAGGCATCAGAATATGACCTCTTTTCTTAGTAAATGTACTCAGTATGTCCCTTCTATTAAAATAACTCCTAAAGCTCTTAACCATCCTGACATTTTAGTTTCATGTGAAAGACTAATAGAAGGGGTAATTTGAGATGGAAGGTGAATATTTTAAAGTTGATATCGTTTGAAAACCTTTTTGATCAATTGAGGAAAAATTTAAAATATATGACTACTGGAGTTTTATTTTTATAAGCCCATACTCTGTACTCAGAAATAAGTAAAACAATGCTTAGAATGAAATCATTTACAGATTTTTGTTGTTACTTTGTGATCTTATGAGTTCTTTGTTCTGCTGACTTTGAGAGGTACATAGTCTTACCTAATGTTCTTGAAAAAACACAACAAAAATAGGCAGTAAGGGCTGGCTGTGGTGGCTCATACCTATAATCCCAGCACTTGGGAGGCTGAGACAGCAGGATTACTGTGAGGTCATCCTTGGCTACATAGTGACTTGGAGGCCAGTCTGAACTACATAGCAAGACCTTGTCTCAAACAAAATAAAACAAAAAAACAAAAAAAACAAACAAAACAAAACCTAAAAAGGGTGGGGGGGTAGACAGTAAGTCCAGCACAGTACCCTGTACTGCGCAGACCGGGTAGGCAGTCCTTCATGAGTAAGCCATCAAAACATTGGTTAGTGGGCAGGGATTTAGCTCGGTGGTGCCTACCTTGCAAGCACAAGGACCCAAGTTCAATCCCCAGTACCCAAACAACAAAACACGGGTTAGTTAAGAATCTAACTGGGACCATTAAGAGAGTCCTTTCATTTCCTAGTCACTTCCGGCAGCCCACTGGCACTGAGCCAAAATATAATTTTTGTGGTATTAGTTACCAAGGAAACATTAAGAATCATGATTGTCACTGCTACCCAGTTTGTCTTGTCTTTCCATTTCTACTCTTTGGGCATTATTTTTAGAGGCCCCTTGATACTATCTAAAGAGCTACCCCAGAGTACAGTATGATTATATTAAAAGTGGAAATAGCTGTATAGTTTTAATGAATCCTGTGCTTCAAAATATGTATTATGCCATTTCGCAAATCTAGAAACTAATTTAGGACAACATTTAATTTTCTTAAAGTTTCCTAAGTGAAAACATCTTGAATTTTTATTTTTGCCATTGAGATGTTATACTTATATTTTATAAAACATAAGGCAAATGAAATCCCATATATTACTTCTGATAGTCTTAATGTGAAGGCAGACTGTAGGAATAGTCTTTATTCTTAAGGTATCCCCAGTGTTTTCCCCCTATAAATATTCTAGTCCTGGATTTCAGCTCCTATAGTCAAGATGTCACAAGTTTAAAAGTAAAACCTGAAAAATTACCAGAGGAACAAGAATTGTTCATTTTGTTAAAATTTAAAAGTCTTGTTAACATAAACTTAAAATGTAGGTTCAGCTGGTAATTTCTTCTTCCGTTCCCTCAAATTACATTCACCATGTAAAGCTGTTTATAGCTTGCCTTCAGCATTATTCTGGTAGGCTTGTCAGTGTTAAATCTTTTTTTTTTTTTTTATGTATTTTAAAGCCTGATTTTAGGTAAATTCAGATGTGTACGAGAGTATGTATTTTGCATAATGTTCTTGATTGAAGAGAATTGTTTGTAAATTATTTGTTGTTTATGCATATACCCAGTTGATGCAATAAAATATTCATTGTCTTTCCATAAAACCTTGATGATCAACGGGGGAAGCAAATATTGTAAAGCTTTTTATGAATTTTCAAAGTGCAAAATAAAGCTACCAAGTTTAAATAGATCGTCTTTTCTCTTGTTTAACCAGGTTTAAGTGTTTTGCTATAACGTAAACTTCATTGCTCTCTACTGCAGACTTTTTTCTTTTTGTGGTACTGGAGATTGAACTCAGGACCTTGTGCTTGGGAGGCAGGCGGCAACACCACCGAGCTAAATCCCTGGCCCCAGAATTACTTCTTGTTACTTATTTGTTACTCAAGCATGATAGAAGTTTAAGAATTAAAAAGAAAAAGTTTTAAGAATTGATACTGTTAACTTTGGTGACTTAGAGTTTTCCTGATTTAAGGGGTTTCGATGTGAGAAGCAATTAAACAAGTAAAGGTGGTGCCTGACACAATATTCCTTGGTAATTGTGTTATTATGAATCAGCATGTCAGAGAATGGTAGCATTTTAAACCCTTCATCTGTGTAGTACCTCTCAGAGGGCAGGAACCATATATTGTCTTATTATCTCCAGTTCTTAGCACAGTTAGGAGGCTTGTAGAAACTTATATTTGTCGATTTAAAAGTGGTTTCACAAAGGAAGTGACCCTTGAACCTTAGGGGAATAGGATTTTTCAGGCAAAGGAGAAGTATCAGAAGTCCAGAAGGATGGAATTATAGGAAAAGGTATAAGCTTGTGTGACTGAAGTTGGTTAGCAAGATAATGGAGGATGAAGGTGGTGAAGGAAACCAAAATATTTCCAAAATATGGATTCTTCAGTTGAAGACAATCAAAATGGAAGTAAACAGCCTTTACTAAGTTTGCCTAAAAGCTGGACAGATGCAACAAGAAAGTCTTGACCTATCCCCATATCCAACTTTTTCCTGCCTGAAAACTTAAAAGTAAAATGTTCTTAACAAACAGCTTAGAAATGGCCTTCTCTTTTCATAAATTTGTTTGCACTATTTTCCCACTTCTGAACCCTAGGACTCCTTTTCTGTTATCTGGTCACATCTTTGCAACTTGATATTCTTCAAATAATATTTATGGCAGACTCCTAAGCCACTGCTTTGAGTTGCTTTTTCCATTATACATGTTAATAAACTTGCTTTTTTCTTCTCTTGTTAATCTTCTGCAGTAATTTGTCCCAAATACAAACTTAAAAGAGGTGACAATTTTATTTTCTCTTCTTTGGAAAAGAGGAAGGGAAAGAAGTAGGTTACATGTGAAATGTGAAGGATGTTGAATGCATGTAGCACTTTCCTCCCCTATTTGAGAATGAAATTTGAAAACATTACCTACTTAGTATTCTTGCCAAAAAAATGGTTGATATCTCATAACTCCCAGCTACTTTCTATCCCTGAGCCGGTTCACACATCCAGAGCCTCTTGAAGGGAGGCCAGATCCTCTTTAGGAAGCACTCAGCTACACTGCCAGAATAGAAACTGATTTCCACTTCACTCCAGTTTGCTCTCACATCCTGAGCTGCTACAAGGAAGGCATTGACAGTTCTTTAGCTACAGTTTTGTGAGTTGATTGATCATCTAAGGATTCTTGGAGGGAGCATTTGGTGGTGTGGGCAGTAAGCTGTCCAGGTATCTCATCTGTAACTGCTCGTGTAGGCCCTGGAGCTCCTGAGAGTAATGGCCACATCCTACGTGCTCAACCAAGGTTGGTAGGTTACAGATTGTGCATATTTTTGTGTCTTTCATTTTTATGTTACCTCTTGAGAGCACTGATGCTGTGTAATTCAGTGAACAAAAAAAAAAAAGACTGAGAAGTGGATCCGTAATTTTACCAACATCTGTTGTCTCATTTTTTCCAAGGTAAGAGTTGATAATCACATAACTGCCTATCAAGGACAGTACTTGCTATGCCTCCTTTGTAATTCCATAGATTGGACCCATACTGGATGTGTCTCTTCCTAATAGTGGTAGCTATAGCAATGCAACCTTACTTTTTCTTGCTTTTCTTTTTTCAGAGCCATAAGATAGAAGGAACCTGGATTCCTGCATGTATACATTGTGTGCTAACCTGTTACATGAGAGTACAATAAATGTTTTTATTATTTAAAATTACTTGGTTTCTTGTTATAGCAGTTCACGTTTTGCTCAAACCTGTTGCTCATTTTTGTCAAATGATAACCAAAGGTTGGTTTAATTGATGTTGGCCCTTATTAGGTTGCACAGTCCAGCATTTCCATTGTACTGACTGATTTAGGGATAACAAAACTGTGTAAAAGACTTTGTCAGCCCACTGACTTTGAGTTTTAAACTGTATGTGAATGACAGATGACGAACTATTGTTCTTGCCCAATGCACATTTACATAGCTCCAAGTACAGGCTGTTTCTATGGCATGTTGCTTTTTGAGCTCCTAACCATAGATCGTTGCTGTTTTAATGCTAAATCATAACTATTAAGGTTTTAGTTTTCTTCCTATTTAGAAACCTTTCTGTTAATAGAATATAGTATATACTGTATTGGGTATAGATTAAAATGTTTTCAGTCTAATGGTATATAGAATTTTGAGAGGCAACATATTTTTCTTACTTCACTACCTGAACAAGGTTAGAACTACCATTTTGGTGTTTTGTGGTTTACAGAACATGGTCATATGTAATTCTTTACCAGTGTAATTCTTTCCTTCCACCCTTAGTGCTGAGGATATAACCCAGAACCAGTGAGAAATTGTTTTACTGTCAAAGTCAAAGGAAGTTATGACTTATCCAAGTGTACATAGTCATCATGGGGTGGGCCAGGCTTTTATGTAAATCTTGAGTCTAAGGTCAGTATTCTTGGAAGTAGTAAAAACTTAGTGGTAATTTAGAACAAGGTTCAAATCTTGACTCCAATATAGACTAGTTGTTTGAGTAGTTAATGTGGAATGCAGCTTTAGTGAGTTATATATAAAATTAACTACAAAAAACATTTGAAAAAATTCAAACTGTAGTTTGGTAGATTTTTGTTTTTCACTTTTCACCTTCCACATGGTTTCTGTGACTTCTGCATTAGAGCTATTCCGGGAACATAAGGGGTAGCCAGCTGCAAGATGCAAGGAGCAGACAGTTTTGGCTCCTGCAACCTCAGTGCAGTGTGGGACTCAGGTCTCTGTCAGTTTCTGCACCAGGATTTAGCATATATTTTGAGAAGACCTGTTTCAGTAGCATGAACCTGGTTATTAAGCTTCTGTTCTAGGAACCAAGATTAATTAAACACATTTAATACCTTTTGAGCTTTGCTTTCACCATGTTCAGAGATTCAAGACTTAAGATGCTTGCTGAAAGCAGGGCTCTACAATGGAGGGGCAAAAAAATTTCTATTTTCCTTTTGGTAACTGGGGAGAAACAACGTGGGAGAAAATATTTAGCCCTCCACATACTCTGTGTTGTTTCCAAAGTACCAGTGAGTGAAGAAAAGACCAACCCAAAGCATATGTGTACACTGATAGGGACATAACCATTCCCAAATTGCTATTTCATTATTTAACCTTCTACCTACTCAGGTTCTCAAATAGCAATGCTTTTTTTTTTTTTTTTTTAAACAACCCACTTTAAAGTTCCCAACTTGCTTAAACTACGATCTGTGTGCCAAGGGGATGGAAGAGGGTGGGCATCTTAAGAACCTGTGCCAGGCAGGTATGTTGATGAGTGAGTCGGAGGAGGGAAAATGTTTTATGCTGAACAACAAGACTCTTCTGTTTTCTGACCTGATAGATGCATTTCAGTCTCCAGAGTTCTGAAGCTAGAAGGAAGCCAGTGAGATGGCCTAGCACACTACAGTGGACCCCATCACAGCCTTAGCCTGTGTGAGCTAACAAGAGCCCAATGTCCTGAATCCCCATCTGGTGTGTTCTGCATCACCTTGAAAACCAACTTTGTGGTGAGTGTGTTTGTATTACACTAGTAATCTTTCAGTGTTAGTTGTATGAATGGTTCAATCATCTTGCAATGCTAAACTTAATAGTATTAAAATAACCACACTTTTGTATTCATAATGGTACTGTTGACATGGTCTGGAATCAAATGATTCCAGATAGTGGGTTGCAAGTTACTTCCAAATTTGGTGTAACAGTACCTTGTACACATAAAACAATAGAGATGTAAAAACAGTTGTGGCTAAAACAGATCTTAAAATGGGAATATTTGAACAGTTAGTTGGATCTGTTCAAATGGAATAAACAGGCTGTAATCCTGTGACCAAGTCAGGGTGTGGGTGTGTGTTTGTGTGTGTGTGTGTGTATGTATATATATACAATGTATTTTCTTCCATGTTTACTTCCATAACTGTTTTTGAAAGCCACCTTTAAATTTTATACCTCCAGTGAGGTTTATAAGTCTATAATCTTGGCAAAATACGAGTTTAGTGGTAGAAAATTTAAGTTATTCCTGCTCATCTCTCCTTGAAGGGTCATTTGCCTAGAAGCCTTTATGTGTTTGAGAGCTTACAGAAGACCCAAGTGACTGTACAGGAACACGCCTTCTGATAGATCCAGTGAATGGCTAGATAATCTCACTATATAATTAGTGACTTTCTTATTACAAAGGATTTCTATCCTAATTGTGACTAGCACTGAAGCTCTTAGTGAAATTTTTCATTTTAGATCCCATTAATTATTCTTCTGTCTGCATCGACAAGAAGGTCGTAGGTATTTCTATAAACAGTAATTAGTTGTGCCTCCCTTACATAGTTCTTAAGGCTAGAAAAATCTGCTCAGACTCTCGACATAACCCAGAGTTTGGAGACTGGCTGATAGCAGGCTTATTTTGTTCAGCAGTATTTCAGAATCATTTGAATTAAATGTAACGTTTAAAGGCTGGGAGGTTCTTGGTTTTTCCTGAAAAAGCAGATGGTCTACAGAGCAACACTGGTTCTTCCATGGCAGTAGTCTAATCTACCATCTGGAGATCAGCCACTTGGGTCTTGGGTCCAGTTTTACTCATTTTAAGCCCATGCTTTATAGTCAAAGCAATAAAGTTGTATAGCAAATACCTCCTTTCACTTCTGGTACTTTAGATTGAACTCAGGAACTAGAACGGAGTAGAGAATAGCAAATACATATATAAAATGAACTATTTTCTCTTCACGAGAGCTGAAAGGTGTTCTATTTTTGCCAGCACCTTCCAGAGCCTCAGGCAGGGGCTACTCTGTGGTGAGGAAAATGCATCCCTAAAGCTCTGCTTCACTCCTGTATGAGAAATGTGTTGGAACATTTGATAATTATGTTGGAAAAAATTTTGGAATTTGGTGACTGATATACTTTACACTTGTTAACTAGATCTGTTCACACCTTGTAGCTACTACATGCTTTTTACTCAACAGTAAGACAGTCGTTGCCTTTTCTCCCTTTGTAGTCTTTTATTGCTAAGAGCTAGGACATAAAAGCATGAAGGTTACATTATCACTGTAGTATTTCTGTATTTCCGTAGGCCTTTGGCAAGCTATGTGACCATTATATGAGGAAATGAAGAAAACCACTAAGGTGACTTGCCAGATTTACCCCCCCCCAAAAAAAAAATCTTTTGAAAATTACTGAGGGTAGTGCTGGCAGCTTATGCTCGCATTTCTCTAGGCTCAGTATCATCTGCTGTAAATAACACACTACAGCAGTCTTCTAAGAATTTGTTTAAAGCCAAGAAATCTGCTCATATTATGTGAGGTTGTGGTAGGAAAGTTTTCTTATGTATTATGTAGTAATGTAAATCAGAATTTTCTTTAGAGGAAAATTGGCTATGTCCCAGTAACTGTTTTGTTCCTGACTTACATACACATGCACCTCTGTAGGATAAGGTATGAATGAGGAAGTTCAAGTCTTACCACCAAGGGGCTGGCTAAATAATGAATAATGATGTGCATCCAAAAGTAATGTATCCAACAGTCATTGAAAGAATGAGGTGGAATGTTTACATATAAAGAAAACAAAGCAAGTCAAAACATGTATATAGTTTACTGTCTCTTTGGTACTGGAGATTGAACCCAGGACCATGCACATACTAAGTACGTACTACCACTGAGCTGTACCCCCGCCTGCCATTTTTATGAGACACACTTAAATAAAACAGATTCTTTTGAGCATCTGTAGGATGCATTAGCTGTGGTTACTTCTTGGGATGAGGAGGAAAAGGAGAAGTTTCAGTGTTTGTCCTTTCTGAAATTTTTATCATGTGCTTGTACTTCTTTTCATGGTTATCTTTTTTTACAAAGCACCAGACCAGGGAAAGGATGATATAATTACTTTTAAGTATAGGGCGCTCTAAACATCATCTTTCTAGCTCAGATACAAAGCCTTACTCTATCCAGTCTCTGCCTGCTGGTTTCCTACTGGATTTACGTCTGTCCTCCTTGAGACCTGACTGACAGCTTTCTCCTCTGATAAATAGGGTCTGTAATGGTAGGACGCAGAGAGTGAGTCATGCCTGAACACAGGAGCAAAGTTATCTGGGTATGTTTACAAATTGTATTCAGAAAGGTAATTTGTTATTTATTAAGCATTTATTAAATACCTCCCTAAAAGGCCCTCAATGCCACCAGGACCTTCTGTTAGGACTGAGACATATATGCAAGAATGGCACATAGCAAAATATGTGTTTGTTAGTTCAACTCATTTTCCCTTGAACGAGATAGAACCTCATAGGAACTTAAAATACTCAGTGGCATAGCATCCTCTAATTTGAAGATTTGAAAAGAAAAAATACCTGAAAACCCAGTTTTGAAAACTGCTTTTAAAGGCCAACAGATTAGCTGAACGGCAAAGATAAAAGGAATAATCTCTTCAAATCTACAAAGACTTCTGCCACAACAAGCTGATCCTTGTAGCTTTAGAGCTGAGCTGGGAAAGGCAGCCCACCCCGTGGCCCAGAGAAAACATATCCCTCAGACAGCTGCTACGCGTTTTTAGCATATATTCCAGGGGTATGTGTTTTTTTTGTTTGTTTCTACATCTATACAGTTAACATTGCTTGACCCATAAATAACACTTGTAAAATTAATAGGGCCATAGTTTAAGAGTATTTACAGAGCCCCACCATGCATACAGAGCCTTTTTTAATATTGAAAAAAAAAATTTAACTTTCCATCACTAGGCAATAGAAATTTGACTGTCTAAACTTATAAGCCCTGACTAAAACACAAGCAATCATTTCATCCATAAATGCTGTTTCTGGTTCCTTAAGTCTAGCACTGCAGAGTAACAAACATCTTGCAATTCAGGGATATAAAAATATCAGCTTTAAAATCTGAACTGTACAGTATGTACATTAATATTTGCACCGTTAAATTAGTAATACACTTGTCTATGAAATACTACATTATAAATAGCAATTTTTTTTTTCCTATCTGGAGCTGGAGCTAATACAATGTTTACCTGGCTAATGGGGGCCAAAGGGAGAGAAGTTGGCCTAACATGATAGGATGCCCAGTGTTAGCTAGGTCATTATGACAATGTGCATGCCTCACAAGACAGACCAATCAGGACCTAAGCCAACCTGACTCACGTAATGACAATCACTATTGTGTTACAAAGGTGGCGGGGGCTCTCCATCTGCTAAAATGCACACCCCATCCAATCACCTCATGTCCATTTCTTGGAGACTGAGCAGCTATATGGAACTGTAGTGCACCTGCCACAGGCACAAGGTGTCACCTTAAACCTGGCACCACCCAAGGAGGGTAAACTGGAGAAATCACACCTTTCAAATGTTAATTTGACACTGTAAACAGCAGTAGGGTTCTCATTTACATGGGCAAAGAAAGCACTTTAAACTATCTTAGCAACTTTCCTATGGAAGAAAAAAAAAGATTCTGACAAGTAATGGCTGAGCTTAAACAAATGCTCTCCATAGCTACTCAGTTAAGAAATAATACAGTTTTTGCCTTTGTGTCCTTTTTTCTTCTTGGATTTAGTTGTCCTCTGACCAAACTGAGGGGTGGGGAGGGCAGAAGTTGGACTAGAAAGGTCATCTGTATAGTAGGCAAATCTCTGTGGCCTGGGCTGAGGGATTGGTTGACCAAGAAAATATCCTTCTTCTTCTGAGTCAGAGGAGGAGGAAGAGGAACACCAGGAGTCGTCATCCTCCCCATAGAGCCCCAGAAACCTGTTCATTCCGGGGTTCTGCAGTGCATAGTCAGATGTGGCGTGGGTGTATTGGCCATAGAGATCACTGTTCTGGATATATGCTTGCATCTCCCGGGCACTTTTATTCTGTATAAATTTCTCATAGTTATCAGCGGTATAAAGCCTCAGTCTGTCCTTGGAAGAGTATTTTCGTTCTGTGATAAGATTCAGGGCATTGTCAGAGCGGGACTTTCTACTTCTCCTGCGGCGATGGTGGTGAGACCTAGACTCCCTCTCGTCAAAATGGTAGACCCGTCTCCTAGTCCTTTCACTCATTGGAGGCTGCCGGATTTCGATGTTGTCATAGCTTCCATTGTCAATGACATCGTCTGAAAACTTGACCTGCTGGGGCCTGGACTGAGACTTGGATCTTCTGAGCACTGGCAGATGTACTGGTTTTTCTTCAGGCATGATTTTCTCTGGACACAATTCCGAGCTTAGACTTTTTAGGGACTCTGCACTCCTGTGCAGCATGGATGAGTTCAGAGTTCCCATATTGCTCATTTTCTCGCAATCTTCTGCTTCCATCTCCTCGAAGTTTTGTAGAGAATATAACGACGGTCTTGGTTTGCTTTCTCCATCTACAGAAGCCCCTAGAATAGTGATTATCAACAGTTATCAACAATTCCACTTTAACATAATTACAGACCAGCTATCAAATAGAAGCATTTCAAAGAAAACTTCGAATTTCAATATTTAATTAAAACCCCCTTAGGGACTTCTCTCCTGCCTCTTTGTCACTGCACTGCCCACAAAGTGATTCTCAGCGGGCATACACCAAAGCCTTTCCTAGCTGTTACAGTAACACAGTCTATGAGGACCATGTGTCATTAGTTTGGTTATAAAGCTAGACACACAAGTGCAATACTTTTGTGTATAAAGAAACGGCAAGTAGGAGATTCGTAGCAGGCCTGGGACACAGGCCACTATATTCAGCACAAGATTATTTTAAGAGTATAATGTGGATAACTGATAAGACTGTGCTTTGAGAACATAAACTGCTGTATTTTATAATAAAAAGGCTCATATATTTCTGAGTTATCTCTTGCCATAGGGAAATTCAGTAAATTATTTTTAAAAGTTACAAACTTTCTAAGTATTCAGGCCAATTTAAAAACCTTAAAATACATATAGCACAATCCAAAGAACACAGAAGCTTTCAGTTACAATCCAGTTGCATGCTCCCTTATCCAAAATAAGTCTTGTTTCAGGGATCATCCCTATCTCAAAAGGCTGTGCTAAAAACATTTTTACATATGTACTCACCTGTACACACACGTTTGTTTTGCTGTAGTGTCCGGCATTTAAATGAAGTGGTTCCTTTCTCTTGGCCTAGAGTTTTAAATAACCCCTCCTCAATTACAGTTTCTTTGAGTAAACTTTGGCTCCTTTTTCAAATAACCCATAACCCCCAGATGACTTACTTACCCGTGATATTAGACAAAGCCAGAGAATCCATAGAATCTCGAACACTTTGTTCTGGTTTCAAGTCTGACAGACACTCCAGGGAGTCCTCATACCACTGTGTCTGGTCATGGTTGTATCCTGTGGCACCATGGTCCAGATCCAGCTCCTGGAGCCTCCTGCTACTGGCGGGGCCTGGGTGGCTGCCATAAGCGGAATCGCCCAGTCCATCTTGTGACTGAGCCCAGTACATATCAGACTGGTATTTTTTACTTGCAAGGCTCTGGTGATTCTGCTTTAACTCTGCGGTGTTTTTAACCATGTTATCAGATATCCAGTGCTCACTGGCTCTAATGTCCATCTCACTGGGCTGCTGTTGAAAGAGGCTTTTGTCCCCGAACTTCAGGAGGAGCTGAGTCATATAATCTTCATGCTCAGCCCATTCTTCAGGTTCTTCAGGGGTTTCGTGCTCTACCCTGCCTTTCCAAAATTCCTCATTGGCAAAACTGGCTCCTTGTCTGGAGAGACTCAAATCATCCAGCTTCCGAGACAGGGTGTCATCGGCATTGCCAGAGAGGCCAGGAAACTTATAGTTCAGAGCAGGGGAGAGGAGAAGAGACTGCCGGCACTGATCTGCTGACCTGCTGCTCTTGCCCATCCGGACACTTCTTCTGGAGTCTCTCGACCTTGCTGACTGGAAAGCAGAGTCAGAGGAGTCGGAGGCGTGGATATCTTCTCCAAGGCTGCAGGTTTTTGAGCAGTAAATCTGACCTTGTTTGGGAAGGAACGGGCATCCCAGCAGAGAGGCCTTACACTGGGCACAGGAGAAGCACGCTTCTGTGGCATGCCAGTGCTGCCCATCATAGGTCATCTGCGCATGGTCCACACCTGTTAGAAGGAGCAAAGGAAGACAGGTCATAAGACAAGAGGGAACTCTCTAGTGATGGAAATGATCTCGACAGGTGTGTGGGTCTGTGGATATGCCTACTCATTGAAAGTTAGCAAGCCTAACACCTACCTGGCCATTCCCAGGTCTGGCAAGTGGATGTGCACATTCCTAGCCGAGTCTAGACAAAGGGAATGCTCTGCCCTTGGTTTCATCTTCCTTACTAGGATCAAGTGTACTACTCCTGGCCTAGTCAGTACCATGCTATTTGCATTTTTGTGCTTTTTATTGACAATTTTGTTGTCTGGGGTAGCTCCCAGTGCTAGCCAGTGCTGCCAAGGTGCAAGGCTGTGATATGTCTGAGATAACCTTATGATTGTACATGATCGTGTTGTTGCTGTTAGTTCAGTGTAATCCATCAACGATAAATGAAGTGGCTTTAATTCAGAACACACACAAAACACAGCTATGCATGGATGTGCGGATGAGGGTGTGGCTGGAGCCACAGGCCAGTGGCAGAGCACTTGGCTAGCATGGTGAGACCTTGGCGCTGTGTGTGAGCAGAGGCTCAGAGGGCTCCTCAGCATCTCTCCATGTAGAAGTAGCCTTTCAGTATCTACAGATGGAGCATTCACCAGGGCAAATAATGAGAAAGGACTCTATCCTTTCATCAAAACTCATTAAGCCAAAACAATTATGATCCATACATTTCACTGCATGTAAATTATACCTTAACTTTAAAAAAAAAAAAAAAGTAGAAAAACAAGGCTGTGAACTGCAAATGACCAACAGCTACGTGATTGGGCTGAGGACTTACCAATATGCTCCCCGCAGGTTTCACAGTACTCTGCATAGAGAGACTCAAAGCAGCCACAGCAGAAGGGGCGGCCATCCTTCATGATGTACCTCTGTCCTCCCAGGACCGTCTCACACTCCAGGCAGCAGAAGTGTTTCATGTGCCAGTGGCGACCCTCTGCTTCTGTGCATTCATCGGCAAAAATTATCTGTAAAAGGAAACATGGATGTATAGGGTGCAAGAAAAATAAATGTGAAGTCTTTCAGTGACTAAGTAATTTTGTTTTCTGGGCAGCTTTCACTGGCACTGGCTCTTCAATCATATGGCTAACCTTGTTTCTTAGCTACAGGCTTAAATCTGATTTGGTTTAGCTACAAAACGAGCACAAACTGAGGATACAAAAAAGAAAAAAAATACATAGATGCTTGCTTGAATTTGATTTTTTGTTGTTGTTTGTTTGTTTTGAGACAGGGTCTCACTATGTAGTTGAGACTGACCTGGAGCTCACTATGTAGCCCAGGCTGGTCGAACTCACAGCGATCCTCCTGACTCAGCCTCCCGAGTGCTGTGATTACAGGCATGCACCACCACGCCCAGCTACTTGCTTGTATTTGAAAAAGCTGGGTGTGGTGGCGCATGTTGTAATCCTAGCATTCTGCAGGAGGATACTAAGTGTGAGGCCAATCTTGGTGACTTAGTGAGAGTCTGTCTCAAAAAAGTTCTGGGGATGTAACTCAGTGCAAAGGCCCTGGGTTCATTCCTCAGTACTGGGTGTGTGTGTGGGGGGGTGCTGAGGAGTGGGAAGAAAACACATATAAACGTGTCCATTGGAGGTAATAAATTTGGTTCTATTTTAGCTGTGTGATAACACTTTGGTGGCGTAATTCACAAAGAGCACATTAACGTTGAAATAGTTTAGTGGTCTTTATGTTCTAATAACAAAACAAAGTCTGTAGAGCTATCAGTTAGATGGTGAAACTGTAAAAACAGCACTTGTATAGACAGATAATGTTTCATTTCACCTGGTGAACATCTGTAGAGTAAGGACTTTACTTTAAGAAAGTGTTCAAATAGCATATTACTGAAAAAGATAAATCTATGAAAGTTAAAATTTAAAATTTAGCCAGGCACGGTAATGTGCCAATATCCTGTTTGAGGCCAACCTAGGTTGGATACATGTTGGTATATTGTCTCAAAAAAAAAAAAAATCTGAAAATTTACTATCATGATTGAAGGAGACTAAGGATATCACAGAGTACCTTGCACTAGTACCAGAAGTAGGGAAATATAAAGTCTGCAGTTCAGCATTGGTCTTATACCAGTGTAAATGTCTTAGGTTTGATACATACACCATGGTTATGTAAGATGTCATGTCTGGGAAAGTGGAGAGGGGGTTACAGGAATTCTGTATCTTTTCAACATTTCTCTTAAGTTTAAAGTTACTTTAAAATGTCCTTTCAAGGCTGGGGATTTAGCTCAGTGGTTCCGCCACCTGCCTTGCAAAGGACCCGAGTTTGATCTCCAGTACCCCAAAAATAAATGAATAAATAAATAAAATGTCCTTTCACATCACCACACTCAAGGAGATGACCACTATTACCTTGCCACGTGTCTATTTCTGAGTGTATACAAGTATGTATACCCCCATATTTAACAAAAATAAAGTTCATCAGCTACAAACTTTTGTAACTTGTTTTTCCCCCTACATCTCATTAAGGACACCATATTTGGGAAGACACAGAAACACCTGCTGGCCTCTCATTAGTTGTGTATTATCCCACTATATCTAAGTACAAGGTTATCTTAAAATACACATGCACAATAAAAACCTGGAGAGACACTTATTTGCTTAGATGTGTACAGTGGAATATTGGCCATCAACTTATTTTTCCAGCATTAAGGGATGAACTGTTTTTACCTCGTCACATGCTGAGCACCGTGGCTTGAGCAGTTCTGCGTGGTGCCTGCCACAGTGAATTTTTCCATCCTGATAAAAATAGATGAGGTCAACCAGCAGCTCGTTGCACGTGAAGCAGACAAAGCAGGACGGGTGCCAGCACACACCAGGGCCTGCCCGGGAGGCAAACACTGCGACCTCTCCTCCATTTATCTTCAGTCCGCACTGCGAACAGATTGGATTTGTTGAATCATCCTTTTTGGATTCTCAGCCTTTCCTACTTTACCATAAATCCCAAATTTGGCAGGAAAGCTTTTATTTCTGGCTCCTCCTGTGAATTACTAAATAGCTCTTTAATACTGCACTATTGTGAATCTCAACCACAGTGAACATGCTCCAGTGGACAATTACACTACACCAAGTATAGTTTCATCCGGCCCACACAAACATCGGCTTTCTTGGGCCAGCCCCCTGCTGGATACATTTCCCATTCAGACATCTAGCAGGAAGGACCTGGATGTCGCCATCATGTTTCTGCGTTTTTAAAATACTAGGTGTACTCTAGCTGCACGCTTTCATCAGATGTTTTCATATAGGCAGAGTGATTCCACCATCACACGGCGGCACAACCAGTTACAAATATGAGTCATTGTTCAGAAGCTCGAATGACTTGAAGACACATGCCTGTGTCATCTGTCTTCTACTCCTACCCCTATTTCCACCCACATCATCCCTACCTGCTCACACATGGCGTGCCTCACTGCCCTGGACAAAAGTTTAATCGTTCCTCTTCCAAGTGCTTCTTTCTTTCTTTGAGCACTGAACACCTGCAGTTCTTTTTTCTCCTCTTCACTCAAAGACTGGCAGTACCGCACCTGCACAGAAAGGGAGAAGTCCCATGCTTGAGTGCAGTCTTCGAGAGTTCAGGAGGTAAGAGCAAGTTTAGCTGCCTGCCTCACAAATCTGCAGTTTTAACAATGACACCATACCTAAATCTTGCAGCCTCTGTAGCAAAGGCGAAGTGCAATCTGAAGAAATAGCCTTGTTTAATCTTTTAAAATATCAAGTGTTTAAACCTTTATCAGAAAGAAACACAAAAGAACTAAGATATTAACCTTTCCCAACAAAATTTAAATTTATTAATTGCTACTTTCATCCCACATTCTACAAACACTCAACTCTAAGTTGGGCTAAACTTCCACAGTGGGGCAGGAGAAGGGGGTGCTCAGGAATCTGGCGCCCTGGTAAGTGGTGGGTGGCTGCAAACACTATAAAACCCAACGTGTGTTTGGTTTACTGCGTGATGCCCTTTCTCTTCAAGAATGGAAAGCTATGTTCTCAGGCCACATTTTTAGTGAAGAAAGGCCAGAGAGGGACCTAGTCAGCCAGGAGCCTGGTGTTTATGAGAATGATCATAATGCTTATCATGCACTTGCTTCTTCCTAATCAGCCTTCTTCCCGTTATTTTACCTCATTATCATGTGGTGGCAACTGGTATAAAAGCTGCTTAATCCGATGTTTCTCTCCAGGGCTGTTAACATAAGGAACCTTTTCCTCTGGCAAGCATGCAAAATAGAGCTGGATCTGCATAAGGGACATACAAGAGAATGGCATCAATACACAGAACCCAAACCTCTTAGCCCACGTGGTCTTTACCTTCCCCTTGGTGTGGGTTTTGGCCACTAGGAGGTAATGAGCAGACCAGCTGAGCCAGCTCAGCAGAACTGCAGACCTGCAGAAAACCCGGCGTCCAGCTGCTAAAGTGCTCTTCAGGAATGCAATTTGTAGTGACAATTAGGGATATCATAAACTATGTACCGTAAAATATGCACATTTAATGTTATTGTTTCTCAGCCAGTCTTCCAAGGGTCAGCCAAGGGACCAGCCTGGATCCAGGCGAATTGTGCAGTCACCACACAGGCTGTAGGACACTCCAGAATCCAGCCACACAAACACATTTCATTTGCTCTTGGAATTTTGCAGGTTGCAGAGACAAAAGCTGTTTGGTTGAACATTTAGACTCTTCCCCAGTTGGGTTCTCATGCATTAGCGTTCTTAGCATCCGTGGGTGCTCTTTCCAATATGTGGAGTCAGTTTTCCCAAGGAAACTAGAGAGGGGCCATGTTGAACTGTACTTGGTTCACTTAGAAGAACTTAAGTATTTGTTTTCAAGTAGGGAACATCTCTTAATGAGTAGTGCAAAGGTTACATGCTACAATGATGAGAAGGAATGAAAGTGACTCCAGGAGAAAAGGCCGGATGAAGGAATTTGGACTTGTCTGACAGCTTCAGGATCAGTGCACGTGATTAACCCATCCAGGCTAAGATGTGAGAAGGGGCTCTTTCGAGTAAGTAGTTGGTCAGAATAATGCGCTGCGCCCCTCCCCCACGAGTCAGCTCTGTAAGCTTTTTACAGTGTACACCGAATACCCGCTATGTGTGCACACATACTGTGCGAGACTCTGGGCGAAGAACACCTTTCCTCGGTTCCCACCCCAAAGGAAACAGCATAGCTCAGAAGCAACTGCACACCCAATCTTTTCTTTCAAAATATGCTTTTGCCTCATAATAATAGCTATTGCCAGCAGTTTTCAACCAATTCATTGTAAGGACATCAGGAAAATAAAAATAGGCTTATATAGATTATTTTATAAACTCGTTTAAGTTTTTCCAGTCCCGATTATGTAGGGACAGACTTTAGTTATTAAAGGTCAAATTCTAGGCAATACTACCTCAGTGGATTCTTTTTTTTTTTTCTTTTTGGTACCGGGGATTGAACTCAGGTCCTTGCACTTGCAAGGCAGGCCACGAACCGCTGAGCTAAATCCCCGGCCCCTCTCAGTGGATTCTTAGCTCTCAATCTGTCTTCCACAGCAAAAGCACTCCTGAGAATGGGCCTAGAAACTGAAGTTTGAAGACTTTTTTGTTGGCACTGGAGTTTTAAGGTTAATTTCACTCACTCTGTGATGGGTGACTTGGTAGAAAGCCACGTAAGAAATGCATGTGCATTACGCTGGATTTCATCGGTCATGAGGCAGAGACCCTGCCACTGAGAAACTAAGTAGGGCCTTAGAAAGTAAAAATTCAAAGCCACCCAAGAGGCATGAGGACTGAGGAGGGTAGTATGCCAGTGGTGCAGTGCTGTTCTGTGTAGGTTTTGGTTGTGTTCTGGTTTTGTTTTCTGAGACAAGGTCTCACTACGTAGTTCAGGCTGGCCTTGAAATTGTGGTGGTGGTGGTCCTGCCTCAGCCTTCCAAGTGCTGGGATTTCAGGTGTGTGCTACTATATCCAGCTGGTTTATGTACTTTTAAAACAATGTTCTGAAGTCTTAAATCACTTAAAACAAAACAATGGGATGATGTGGCCTCACCTGCTCCGGTCTGAGCCCTGGAGGGACCCAGGCGTACTCCTCCAGCGCACAGCCAGAATCGTCATCGGACGTGGAACTTCTCTGACACCCAAAGGCCAGCTTGCTCATTTTGGGCTCCATCTCCAAAGGCATAGTAATCAAGTTAAAAATCAGGTTTCTCAACTGAAGGACATCCAGTTGAGGCTGCTGTGGACAAGAGAAAACAGTTTACCAACAAGAAAGAATTCCTTGAGTCTGCCAAGGGCTTTTATTGGACACTTGTTTGCACCCAGCAGGGCCCAGAGAAAGTAGTCAATTTACTCTGTCACCACCTTCCAATCCCCAGGGCTTAAAACCCAGGGCTATATCCAGTTTGGAAATGGCCTTTTACCAGTTCAGTTCTTAAAAAAATGCCATCAAAGCTTGTTTACTTCAGTTCCTCTCTATACATACAACTCACTAGAGAAGTACTCAGGAAAATTGCTTTGTTGACTTCCTAACTTGCCTACAAATGCAAGCTATGAATTCACAGGAGCTATAAAGTGTTAGGGACTGGGCCATCTGCCCTGGCTCACCATCATGCGCCATGAAAAATGGCTGCAGAAACCTCACTCAGCTCCCCATCTTTCCTACGCAAGTTTTCTACTGAGACTGTGCCGCCTGCTGAGAATGGGTCCCCTGAGCCACACTGCTTAAGTTTCAGACTTCTAATCATGACACTAAACCTGGTTTATACACCAAAATAGCACAATTAACTCATACAGTACATTAAATCCTCAAGTTTTTATGAAGGTCCAAAGTCAGCTAGACATCAGTGAGTTTCTTCAACAAACAGTAACTGAATACAGCATTAGGTTAAAATAAAATCCAGCTTGGTGACTCTTAGCATTTAACTGCATTATAAGCCAGCATTTATTGAAAAGTTATGCAGTATCTACTGTGTGTGAAATGCCGCAGGCCAATCCACGACCGGGCCAAGTAAGTAGTGGATCCTCTGAATGAAAAGTAGCCTGAGTGGAGGGTGGAGCAAGAAAGGTGTGCAGGCAGCATTCCCTATCCTAGGACCCACTGCTTTGTTCCTACTTGGATTGTCTTTTAAGTGTCTTCTGGGTTTCAGAAATCATCCCTCACCCATAGAACTAAGGGGAAAAAAATAACTGAGAATCAG